AACGAGGCGTACGAGGCGTATTCATGTGGAAATCCAACGCAAATTACGAAAGTATGAATCTGTGTTAGATAACCAAGTGGATAATTACGAACGTTAAACTTGAAGGAGCAGCAGCAATAATTGTGGAGATGGGTTGTCGACTGGCTGGCTGGCTGGCTGCCTCGTTGTAATCATACCCAAGGATATTAAATGCTAATCTCATTAACAGCATTATTGGTTTCCTATTAAAATTCCATATCAAAATATCATTGATTGTTGAAATTGAATACTGGTGAGAATAATAGTTGGAATTCATTGTGGTCTGGTTTAAATAATAAATTGCTGGCGGCTCAGAATGGAATGCACTATGAAATTTGAAAGGAGACAAGGCATATTGGCTTATGACCACAACAAAAATCTTTAGACCAAAGAATCCTTGGGCAAAGTTTATGTTGAACTCAATGGAGCTTTCCATTTAATAGTTTAGCTTGTTCAATAACCAAAATTCTGTTGTGTGGTACACTTTGAACCAAACTCGAAAAAAGTACAACCCTAACCGTTTTTATACTCTCTACCTTGAAAAGGAAGGTATATCAACTTTGTCATTCCGTTTCTACCATTCCCAAATATTCGTCGTAGACCCCACATTTCCTACAGCCCCCATATAACGCCACCTCCTATATTCGGTATTTTGATGATTTTTGTCATATTTTTCCACGGATTTGTTTAAAAATTGTCTTATAGTTCGGAATGGATTCTAGCATACATATAACGGTTCCCACCGATATTCGGTGGAGGTTATTAAAAGACCTTAATTGTTTTTATACCCTCCACTTTGTCATTCTGTTTGTAACTCCTCGAAATACTCATGTCAGACCCAACAAAGTATATATATTCTTGATCAGCGTAAAATTCTAAGACGATTTAGCCATGTCCGTCTGTCCGTCTGTCCGTCTGTCTGTCTTTCTGTTGTAATCACGCTATTTTTCGAACAAATTGAGATAGAAGGCTAAAATTTTGCACACATAAGGCCATAAGGCAGGTTAAGTTCGTAAATGGGCCATGTAGGTCCAAGTTATCATATAGCCCTCATATAACGGTACCTCCCGATATTCGGTATTTTGATTATTTTAGCGACATTATTCGCCGAAATTGTTTCAAATTTGGCATTTAAAGTTCGTAATGGATACTACATGCTAAGACAGAAAATTATCTGAGCAGATCCACGTCTTCGTGTAGCCCCCATATAACGGTACCTCACAAAATTCGGTATTTTGATGATTTTAGCGACATTGTTTACCGGAATCGTTTCAAATTTGGTATTTGAAGTTCGTAATAGATACTACATCCTAAGTCAAAAAATGAGCCATGTAGGTCCACGTCTTCATATAGCACCCATATACCGCACCCCCCGATATTCGGTATTTTGATGATTTTAGCGACATTATTTAGCGGAATCGTTCCAAATTTGGCATTTGAAGTTCGTAATGGTTACTTCAGCCCATGCCAGAAAAATGTCTGTGCAGGTCCACGTCTTCGTATAGCCCCCATATAACGGTACCCCCATATTCGGTATTTTGATGATTTTAGCTACATTATAAACAGATTTTTCTTCAAGTTTCGCATTTAAATATTGTAATAACTTATGACAAAGTTGCCTATGCAGGCCCACGTTGTCGTATAAGCATTCGGTATTTTTAAGATTTTAACAGAATTTTTAACGAATTTTATATTTTGGAAATTGCCAAATTTGTACCAAATGGTGGAGGGTATTAAGCTTTTTTACTTTTTATACTCTCAGCCATATGGCTATAGAGGGCATATACAAACACGCAGGGTATATACAAAGACACAAAATGTGTCTAGTCGAAATAACGGTTTTAGACCCTAGGTGTCTTTGGAGTCGAACATTTGGAGTCGATCTAGCTATGTCCGTCCCCCCGTGGGTCTGTCTGGCTGGGTGGGGCGCACGATAACTCTCGAAGGAAGTACCTCCCCACAAAAGATCGAAATTTTCAAAATATATATTTTCTTCAGAGAAAGAGAAACGATAATACGATTTTGCTCCTACTTTGCAATGGACAATATTGGTCCACACTAGCAAGTACCTCCCCCACAAAGGATCAAAATTTTGAATAATTACAACTCTAATAAAATGTGAGGTAAGAATCCGACTGTCTTAAAATTTCACACATCACAATATTTTTATGAACCCATGATCTGGTGCTAAAATGGAATATATCGGTCCACTCCTTCTGGTACATCTCCCATTAAAGGTCAAAATTTTGAATATTCCTGAAGCCCATAAAACGCGAAATTAACATCCGATTCCATTAAGGCTTGGCATATCTGAATATTTCTATAAACACAGGTTCTGTTACAAAGACGGTAGAGATCGGACCATCCCTTCTCGTACCTCCCCCAAAAAGGGTCAATGTTTTGAATAACCAAAATGTTTATAAAATCCGAAAAAAGCATCAGGTTCTCTTTATATTTCACACATACAAATATTTTTGCTAACACATGATCTGTTGTGAAGGTGAAATATATTGGTCCTTTCCTTCTGGTACCTCTCCGCAAAGGGTCGAAATTTTGAATATTTATGAAGCTTATAAAACACGAAATTAACATCCGATTCCATTCAGTTTCGGTACACCTACATATTTCTCTTGCTACATGCCCCACATAGGGTTCAAGAGTTTGAAAAACAAAACGCTCAAAGAAAGGGAAATAAGCATCCAATTCTCTTCAAATTTCACACATACAAACATTTTTGCTAAACTAAAATCTGTTTTGAAGATGCTATATATCTACGAACCCCTTCTGGTACCTCACCTACAAAGGGTTACAATTTTCAATACTTTTATCTGTCATAAATTTCGAAACAACTCAGCGATTCTTTACAACTTGCTATATCTAAATATATGCTTCTCAACCAGAAATCTGAGATGAAGCATGAAAATGGAATACTTCAGTCGACTATATCTGGTAACTCACTCATATTTTAACTTTTTATAAAAGTTATCATAAATGTCATGTAAAGTAAAGGAAGTTACCAATATTGTCCACACTTGGCACATCACAATATTTTTATCATATTTATTTATGTCCGATACGAAATGGCCAATATTGGCCAATTCCTTTGGAACCAACTCCATAAGGGGTTAAACATTTGAATAATCATAACAGTATTCAAAATATTTTTAAATAGTCGTATATTTTCTGAGGGTCGGCAAGCCCGACAGATACTTTTTAACTTGTTTTTAATAGTTTTAATTTATTTTTTTTATGGTGGAGGGTATTCAAATGTCGTCCCGTCCAAACTAACTGCTTTACTACTTGTTCGTTTGTTTGTTTGTTTCAAGATTTTAATAAATAATAGGAAAATGATTCCTTTTGTACCAAAAAGTCTTTAAAATCTTTGGGTATGAAGTTTACCAAGGACTATGTTAGTAAAATCATTGCACAATGGACTCACATTATTTTTTTTCTGTTGAAAACTATTTAAACGTCAGAAACTTGACTTCAATATTAAATTTCGAAATTTCAGCTCTATCCCTTGACCCAAGATCAAATAGTAACATTTAGTAAATATGTCCAGAACAATTTATAAGTTATATCCTAGACACCAACAGAGATCCAAAATTAGTACCATTTAGTACGAATAATTACAGTACGTATTTTCAAAACAGTCTATATATCTCAATCTCAGATACCAATTGTGACCTTAATATAAAATTTGAGGATTCCAGACCCATTCCTTCACACAATACCAAATTTAGTAAAATTTAGCGCCCTTTGAACAATTAAAGTACACATTTTCAAAATAATCTCCATAACTTAACCTCAGATACCAACAGTGCCATCCATATCAAATTTCAGGATTTCACCCCTATTCCTTCACCCGATACCAAATTTAGTACTATAGCCCTTTGAACAATTAAAGTACACAATTTCAAAACAATCTCCATATCTCAACCTCAGATACCAACAGTGACATCCATATTAAATTTCAGGATTTCACCCCTATTCCATCACCCGATACCAAATTTAGTACTTTTCGTACAATTATAGTACACGTTTCCGAAACCATCTCCATATCTCAATTCCAGATACCAACAGAAACATCAGTATCTAATTTGAGGATTGCACCCAATACCCAATTTAGTAACACTTAGTACTTTATGTACAAATATATGACGAATTTCCAAACCACCATCAAAATTCAAACGCAGATACCATCAGTAATTTAAATATCAAATTTCACAATGTTATCTATATTACTTCACCCAATTCCAAATATAGTACCATTCAATACATTTTCGTACAATTAGAGTACACATTTCCTCAAATCAACTCCATATGTCCACGCAATACATGACCAGCTACCCTAATACGACATTTCAGATTTCAATCACTATCTGTGTACCCAATACCAATTGTATAAAATGTTGTACTATTATGTACCCTTTTGCAAAACCACGTATTTATCACAAATCTACCATCATTTCGAACTTTAGTATCATTTTAGACCTTTTCGTAACCTTAAAGTGCAAATTTCCAAAAACTCTTTAGCTCTCATTTCAAATTTATATTCTAGCTTATTACGTTTTTCCAAGACAAAATATGGAATTTTTACTACATTTTAGTATCCTTTTAGAACGAATTTTCCACGCAGCATTTTCACACCTTTAAAGTATTAAATTTTTAGTAAATTTAAATACACTTTTTACGTTTAGAGAAACCAGCTACAGTTATACATCAGCCGGTTGTTTAAATTCACAAATAAAGACAACACACAGGAAATAAAACAACATATAACAGATGTAAAGATGTAAAATAGTGTGTTTAATGACATGCAAAGGGTCTGTCAATGATATCTCATTATATAATTTGTTGTAGAGATCACATAAAGACCTCATAGGATTATAAGATTCATAATTGGATTTAGCCAAGCAAAGTTTAAGTGGTATGTAATTTCGAGTATTACGAGCAGGAATATTAAAATTTAATTCACCGGTTTAAAACTGTGAATCGATTTCGCCACGCAAAAGTTTTATAATAAATAAAGCTCTTAACATTAAACGTTTCTTTTCCAGTGTCGGAAGATCAATTAGTTTTAGGCGATTCTCATATGGTGGAAGTGTATCATTTATATCCCATCCTAATCCTCTGAGAGCAAATAAAAGAAATTGAGTTTGTACTGATTCCAATTTAGCAGAATATGTTTTGTAAAAAGGACTCCACAATACGCAACCGTATTCTAAAATGGGCCGAACCAAACTAATAAATAAACGTTTAGTCACATAAGGATCGTCAAATTCTTTTGACCATCTTTTTATAAAACCCAGCAATGACTTGGCTTTATTTACACATGAATCAATATGCATATTAAAACGCAATTTATTGTCTAAAATTACACCAAGATCAACGAATGAGTCTACATTGTCCAATTTGTAAGAACCAATGAGGTAATCACTTTTAAAAGGTTGTGTTCCAAACAAAGACAGTTCTTTACATTTCTTGAGATTTAGCGTCATACCATTAGCACTGCACCAATTAACAAGGCAGTAGATGTCATGTTGCAATTTAAGGGAACTAATGTGAGAGTCCATATTACAAAAAAGTTTGACATCATCAGCAAACATTAGGATCTTAGAGTAACGTATAACCGTTGGAAGGTCATTTAGATACAATACAAAAAGTAGAGGACCTAAATGGCTACCCTGGGGGACACCAGAGTACACAGTTATCTGTTTAGAAAGAACATTATTGAAAGAAACTCTCTGTGTACGCCCTTGCAAATAAGATGATATCCATGATAAAAATAATGTTGCGAAACCCATTTTGTCAAGTTTATGTAATAATAATAAGTGATCCACTTTGTCAAAAGCCTTACTGAAATCAGTATATATAATATCAGTTTGGCATTTTATTGAAAACCCCCTGTGTACATAACATATAAGTTCTAATAAATTAGTTACAGTTGACCTACCCTTTACAAATCCATGTTGGTAAGGCGATATTATAGACAAAACAAAGTGCGTTAGTCTACGCGAGACTAAAAACTCAAACAATTTCGGTATTGCACTTAATTTTGCAATACCCCTATAATTTTCGACGACACTTCTATTATCAGCTTTATGCAAAGGAATAATAAAACTAGATCGCCATACTTGAGGAAAATGACCAGATGTCAAAGAATAATTAAATATAGTAGTTAGAGGTAAATAAAGCTCATATGCGCATGACTTTAAAATGTAAGCAGGTACCAGGGGAATTACTACTTTTTAACGATAGAAGACCATTTAAAACCTCCTCCTCAGACAGAATAATTTGGGGAAAATTATTTAATCTACTAATATTATAAGCATAATATTCATTATGATTGGATGAAGGCTTAGAGTAAGTATTTTGAAAAAAGTCAGCAAACAAATTTGCTATTTCAACCAAGTTTTCCCTGCAACCAAGTTTCATGCTACTAGGAAATTCGCGGACTTTACGTTTTGAATTTACAAATTTATAAAAGCTTTTAGGACTCTTCTGAAAATTATTTTTCATTTTTTTTAAATAAATCGAATAAGACTTTAAATTTTCAATGTTATATTTACTTCGAGCTTGTGAATATTTTGTATAATTTAAAGTGGTATTACATTCTTTAAATTTATTAAATAACCTAATTTTTATGTTGCGCAAGCGCCTAAGATGTGGGGTAAACCAAACTGGTCCTGAGTCAGGATAGAACTTCAATAATGGAACTGATATAGTTAACGCATTTTTAAGTACGCTATAAAAATTTGAAATTTGCAATTCAATGTCACCTTCATGAGACCAACTTGAATTGGACAATATAGAACGAAGGAGATTAATATTAGTCTTAGAAAAATTTAATTTGTGAGGCTTAGTTTGTGGTTTTGCATAATTTGTTTGAATATTAAGTTCAAGGTCTATGACAAGTGTTGGGTGATATTTATCTTCCGGTTCTACAAAAGGTGAACATTTACTTAATGAAGTATTAACGGATGAAGAAAACACTAAGTCTAATATTTTACCTTTAAAATTATAAATATTATTGAGTTGATATAGACCTTGGTCAAAAATATTTTGCCAAAAATGTTCCATATCGTTAGACCATACTATTGACGAAACAGGTACATAATGTGCCGTGTCATCATCAAGTGAAAGCCCAGTCATCACACGATTTCGCAAAAAGACTGACCCTTGTGCAAAATTTCAAGATTCTGGCATCAGCCGTTTCGTCTGGATGTTGATTCTCAATCCGTCAGTTATTTCAATACTCTTTTATACATATATGTACTAGCAAGTGCCAACTACTTGGTCAGCCATAAAAATCCCAATACCCAATTTCCGAATTCTAGCCCTATCGGTTCACCTGCATCCAAATTGTACTAAATTTTGTACACATAAGTACGTATTTTCAAAGCTTCTTACATACCACAATCAATTTCAAATTTCAGGATTCCAACCCTATCGGTTCGCCTAAATAAAAATCGTACCCAATTTAGTACCATGCAGTACACATAAGTACAAACTTCAAAAACTACCTACATATGCCAATCCTACACTCCTACATTAATTTTATTTCGAATTTTCAGGATGTCATCTTTATTGGTTCACCTAAATACAAAGATGTAAAAGATGTAGTACCATTTAGAGCACTTGAGAACAAATTTTCATAACTATTCACATACCTCAGTCCTATAATGCAATAGTAATCCTATTTCCAAACTTCAAGATTTCAACTCCAATGGTTCACCCAAAAGTTTAAATTGTACCAAATTTAGCACCACTTAGTACACATAAGTACGAGTGTTTAAAACTGCCTATATACCTCAGTCCTACAATGCAATAGTAATCTTATTTCCAAATTTCAAGATATCAAATCCATTGGTTCTCCAAAAAATTAAATTGCATCAAATTTAGTAACATTTAGTACACATAAGTTAGAATTTCCAAAATTCCCTATAATGCAATAGAATTCCAATTCTATCGGTTCACCCAAATCGTGTACATAAGTACGAATTTCGAAAACTTCCTCCATATCCCAATCCTACACTCCGCCAGGAGATTTCAGCTTTCCTCCAAATTCGATTTGTACTAAATTTAGTACCGTTTAGTACTTTTCATTACACATACATTGACTCTGCTCGTCAACCTTGAATCCCATTCCAAATTTCAAGTTTTTAGCTCTGCCCATTCACATGGTACATTTTAGTACTTTTCGTAAACTTGTAGAGCGAATTTCCAAAAACTCTTTGGTACATCTATCATACACTCCATAAGCGACACATATTCCAAATTAAAGAGTTCTAGCTCTACTGCTTCTTCAAATAGATTGGATACCATATTTAGTATCTTGTAATACTTTTCGTGTCGTTCTAGTACGAATTTCCAAAAACCCAGCATTCGACCGAGAGTGACCCTCACCCAAAATTTCAAAATTCTAGCTTTGGCCGTTAAGTCAGTCAACTACTTTACTCTTTTACTCTTAACATAAATAAATTGCAAATTTAAAATTAAAAGTATGCAGGGTTTTCACTTGTTGAGGTTTTAACTACAAAAACAATTTATACTCCTACCACTGTTTCCGATTTGATTTAATATGCATAGCTAAAAAAGAAACTCTTTGTAAAATTTGTTAATTTAAGGGCAATAAATTTCTACTCTTAAAATTGAAAAATGATCTAAATTTTAAAACTCACAATTAAATATGTTAATATACAATCGTCCAAATATGGCATCATTAAATTTACCTTTTCCATCAAATTCTCAGACGGCACTAATCGTTTACAAAATTTTGTAAAACTTTGTTTAATTGAACAACTTTTATATACTTTAGAATGACACATTAAAGTTCTTCCAACATTCGTTCACACCCTTTAAATGTTTTCAAAATTAAACAGCAGAACATTTCAAACCCGAAATTTACATTTATAATTAATGTCATTTTTCAAATTAGGCTAATCACACATTGCCAAAGATCCATTAAATAAATGAGCAAAAATTTCCATTTACAAAGAGAGAATTATAAATACCATGGATTTATGGAGGAATTTTTGTATCAAATGCAAATTTATATTTTAGTTGCTGGCACTGGCAATCAATAAAATTGCTATATAAAAATTTACAAAAATAAAATAAACATTAAATTTGAATAATTTAAATGGGAATACTTTTTAAAAATATTTAAGTTTGCTTAAATATATTGTACAATTAATACCTGCTTTTTAGATAGTTCATAGCAATTCGTTTCCTAAGAAGGTGTTTAGGTATTTAACAAGCCGTCGTCGTCATCGGTGAAGTGTTCCGTACGCCATTTGTCTGTTGAGAATAAAAACGCATTTCAAAGTTTACATATTAAATTGCTTAAAGTTGACCGGAAATTATTTTAATATGTTCGACTGGAATTGTTAACAAAATATCCCAGAAAACTTCCAGACAAGATTCAAAAAGTTGAAAAAAAAATATTTTTTTGAGTTTTGCCTTGTTAAGGCGAAGATCATATGTTTTATTAAGTGTTTGTTTTCTCTTTCGAGACGAGCTTAATGATCTGAAATTTGCAGTGAAAAGGAAAGCCAGATAGACACTATGCGACGCGTTTCGCCGTTGGTTAAGCGGCTCATCAGGCATATTTGATGTGGATGATGGCTCACAAGGGCCGTTCTCTGGAAAGTAGTATATATTTCGAACTTATTGCAAATTAGCATATGCGAATTATACACTAGAAACTCTCCAGGTTCGACTCAAGTTCTATTGGCAGATCTTTTTCACAGCAACGTTTTGTTTTTTAATTTTACCCACAGAGGATGATAGTCAAATATCGAGTTTTAACATTTTTTTTTTTCTACGGTAATAATTATCTGCAAGAAACAATGAGACATATAGCAAAACCAACTTACTAACTTTCAAAAAATTCGGTCTGAAGACTGAATATTAGGGAGTACCTTTATATATGGTCTATACCACAATTTGGATATCACGTTTTCTTATATTTTGTTGGATAAAATCCAAAAATACTTTAAATCCGGTGGTACGTTACATAGGGGTTATAACAAATCCTAAACCCATTTAGGTGTGATCAGCATAAAATTCTATGTCGATTAAGACACGCCCGTTCGTTCGCCTGTCTGTCTGTCCATCTTT